TCTACTGACGGAACTTTCGTAATCTTTGAACTGTCAAAAAGCTATCCGCTCCTTGACAGTTCCAACTGAGGATCAGTTTAGGCGTCTACCGGTGGTTTCCCTTTAACCACCGGGTTTATCGAGTCCATCGAATTTTGCCTCTCCAGAGGGCCCGTCTTTGAGGGCGACGGTCTGGGCACACCGTCAAAGCTGGATCTCCTAAGACAAGATCCTCGTGAGCTAAGGATGCATACTTGTGTATCCAACAACCCCGAATAGGGCTGTGTTCGATCTTCTTTTTTATTCCGAGAGCCTTGGTATTCCGTTGGGTGATCTTCCTTGGCGGTTTGGGCAGTCCCCGAGGCCTACCCCTCGGCCCATCTTGTAACTTGTGTTGAGGCCCAACAACAAACTCCTTAAGAGGAGAAATAATGTATGTTTCATCTAAATGGGCTTGTAGGCCCAAAGAAATTTGTTGGCCCGTGAAGTCAGAAAGCCCTGGAACCTTATTCTCTTTTTCGATCGCCGAATTTGTCCTCTCTCCTACCAGTGTTGCAACCGCCGACGGAGCAGAATTCCAACATGGAGAGACCACCGTCACCGGCTCTTTCTCGACCAGTTCTAAACGCAGGATAACGCCCTCTGCCCTATCCCACACGCGGATTTGATCATTTTTCAGTTTCACAATCGCCGCCTCCTCCTCTTTTTTTGTACCAGCCGGCCCTGTCCCCTTCGTTCTCCAGCACCGGTGGATTTTTCTCGCCGCGAGGCTGCACATCAGCTCCAGTATCCTCCNGGTTCGCCTTCCCTTTACCAAAACCCTTTTGTACCCATTCCTTCATGGAAGATCTCGATGTCCTCCTCTCCTCCACAAGTTCCTGAGCATCTTCTAATTCTGATAGCTGGTCCCCGTGCACTGGCTTCCTTTTAGAGGTGGATGCCATATCCCTCAATTGAGGCTCTACCTTTGTCGAAGCCCCAACTCGAGACTGAACCGGTTTTGACACTTCCACTCGAGGAGCCTTGCTTCGCCGTCGATATTCCTCACCCTCCCGATGAGGTTCCCGTTGCTGCCTCTGATCCCCTACTCATTCAGGACACACCTGAGACTCGTGAGTCATCCTCTGGCATCGACTACAAAAGTTTTTGAATCTTCAGGTACTCAAACCGAATCGTGAAAAGCTCTCCGGTCTCAAAGATAGTCTCTCTCCGGCTGACTAACAGGGCATCACAATCCACCATCACCCTAATCAATGGGTATGGTTCAATCACCTTCCAATCCATCAACTCACCAAGTCCTTTCCGATACTCTACACTGTTCTGTCGTCACAATGTTAATCGCGAAGGCCTCTGATGTTAATCCAGAACGGAATTAAAACTCGGAAATCCGGCCTCACAGTGGGAACCCAACTTTCAATTGGTACGGCCGATTCTCCATTACATATTGCAGATCCGACTCCTCTTTGAATCGGAAATGAAATTTTCGAAAATGAAACTTTTCTCTCCCCATCTCCACGCTCTAGGCCCTACCTTCACACTTCCACATAGATGGGAGAAAGGCGATTAAAGCCTTGACCCTATGCTCCTGAGCTTGAAGATTCAGGACCCGACCCACCAAGGTTTTCTCAAACTTCTTCATCACTAGCTCTTTGTCGATTGAGGGGGGGGGGAGTTGCAGTGGCGCAGGGTGCTTCCTCTCGTTGTTAGCATCGATCATTTTACCAAAAAACGCCATTAGATTGGGATGAAATCTCGACTTTGTGTGCAGCTTGCCGGAGAGGTTTGAGATTTCTGTGAGAGGCCGAGAGAGGAACAACTCCCGAATATAAGTCGATTGAAAAGCCTCAATCAGCACCTCCAAATCAATCCGATTGAATCTCATCTTATTCTTGTCTTTGATGAGGGAGATATCAGAATCAATCAAATGAAATCCGAGATTTGCTCCCTGTGAATCCGAGAATATGCTTAATCTACTGTGAATTTCCTTATTCAGGTAGCGGCTATGGAAAGCCTTGGGAGGGAGATCCAAAAAGGATCCGACAGCGGTGATTTTGTGATCCGAAATGGATCCAATCCACCCTGAAAGCTTGAATGCAAGCTTGCCCGAAAGGAGAAACGCAACACCGGATAGTTGCCGAAAGTCTTGCTAATGAACTCCGGCCTGTTGTCGTAGTCGGAGCAAAGAACGTCGGAGCAAAGAACGCTGGTGGAACATCGATCTCCAAATTCAAAAAGAAACAGATGTTTTTCTAATGGTATTTTGGTTTAACCAATAAAACGGCAAAACTATATAAAGAAAATTCTGATTCAACTTCTACCGTGATATCATTACTGTAGACAAATAATAATAAAAACAGCTACTTCATGGGATATATTTTCCTTAATAGCAATATGTTTTGCTAAAAAATACAATATTTATTTATTTTATCAAAAAAGGGAGTATAATTCTAGGAGAACTTGAAAGAAATTCCGATTAAAAACTGTTAGAAAAAGTAAAATTATACACGTTTTTATGGGCCGGGCCGAATATGAGACAAAATCTCACTATGGGCCAACGCATATTATTGATACAAAAGAATTATTGTGGGCAGAGTCTATAAAAAGAGCAAACTGTTATGATCTTTCTCCAATTTGTCACACATTTTTTCTTTACGGTATAAGAAGAAAACAAGAAAGCTATTGCAATGTATTGCATTTTATTAAACAATATTTGATACAGATAAATTTTAACACTAATCTTAAATACAAACGTCATTAAGGAAATAGAAAAAAAGGAATCAAACAAGTGACATTGGACCACTAGAAACAGACTGGTCATCACAAGTGAAGGTACTATAAGGAGAAGGGTTTGGAGGATCATGAACATTAGCCACACCTTCAAGCATCTGTGTAACATTTCTCATCTTAGGTCTCATCCCTGGCTCTTCTTGTATACACCATATCGCTATTTTCACATATTTCTCCACCGTCTCCATGTCGTCTATCGCCTCTACATCGTCTTCGATCAAATCATCCAACCTCCCTTGCCGGAAACAATCGTACGCCCAATCGACGAGAATCACATTATCCTCAAGATCGACGGCTTTCTTGCAGCAGACGATTTCTAAAAGCATTACTTCGTAGCTATAGACATCCACTTTGGATGTAATGGTACTGTTCCTGAACCATTCGGCCGCCACATAGCCTTTTGTCCCGCGGATGTTCGTGAGCGTGTGCGTTTGGTTCATCATCAGAAGCTTTGCTAGACCAAAATCCGAGATCCGCGGACAGTAATTCTCATCTAGAAGTATGTTTTGTGGTTTTATGTCGCAGTGTATAATTTGCTCGCTGCATTCTACGTGTAGATACAAGATTCCGCGGGCAATCCCGACCGCGATTCTCCTTCTATCTTCCCAGTTAGGTCTCGGACGCCTGAAGAGATAATCGGCTAGCGTCCCGTGCGGTAAGAACTCGTAGACGATCAACCGGCTCTGCCCTTCGTTGCAGAAGCCAATGAGCCTCACAAGATTCTTGTGGTGAGTCTGACCTATCACGTTAACCTCATTCTCGTTTTCTTGAGCTACACGGTCTAGTTTCTTGACAGCCACGGTAACTTCAGAATCACCGGTAACTTTTAAAAATCCTTTGTAAACAATCCCAAAGCCTCCTCTTCCAAGCTCTTCCATGAAATTTCTTGTAGCCGCAACAAGCTCTCTGTACGTAAAGACCTTCAGATTCAACTCAATTGCAGTAGCCGTAGCTATGGCAGCACCGATATCTCTCGCTTGATTCGGCTTCTTCTTACTCTTCGTCTTTCTATACAGAGCAACGAATATGAAATTCACAAAAGCTGAAGTTCCAAGTAAAACCGAACCGATGATTAACCAGTCACGGTCTGTCCCCTTCTTTTCGGTAATTGGAACATCCGCAGCGCGTTTTAGAACCTTAATGAATGTATCGCTATCACCACTCGAAGATCTCTGACCGAAAGACAGCGGAAACTTTCTTCCAACATACCTGATCGCGACGAGCTCCGAAAATAACCGCAGCACAAAACCAGTCGCTAAGGCAAGAATCTTTAGAGTTTCTCATCATAGTTTGAGTACCTCTCGTAATCCCCGAAAGGGAAATTCGTGCTGTTTAGATGAACAAACTCATAAAGATTTACATCCGCGTTTGCGGTTTTGTTATCATCTGGTCCACAAGTCTGCATTTCGAAATCCGGCTTGCAATCACCATACTCGTCACTAAAATCCACCAATGAGAACCTCTCGGGGCATTGGCATTTCGGCCTCTTATTATCTCCCAAACTGCATATATTGTTAAATCCACAAGCTATATTCATGACTGCAGCGGATCTCGTACATACATTATCCGGCTCAGACCAAGCCAACTTCCACTCACTATTTTCCTGCCCTTTGGGATGAGAGTACAGAGCGAAAACCCCGTCAAAATGTAGAACGGCACGGAGATAGAAGTCTCTAGAAGGTACGGGAGCTTTATCTTTGATAATAGAGAATCTCGAATTGTTGCTTTGAACAACATACATGTCGCCTGACTGATTGAAAACTAATCGAATCCCGGGATTCTGAGGATCGTTAGTGTTACTTGCGTAGTACGAAAAGTATTCATCTGTTTCTGCTAGTGACTTGGAGTTGAAAACGAGAAGCTGAAGATCTCCGTCACTACCTAGACGTAGCAGGAATCTTCCTTTTGCGAAGCTTGTCTCCGTCCGGCGAGATGAGAGATTACCTCCAACTTCTATACTCTGCAATAACGAAACAAGCCATCGACCTTATGGCCGGCTCTGAGCCAAAACATGAGCTTATATGAAATGAGTTAGGGTCGGCCCCGAGCCCAAACATGAACTTGTTTGGATACTTCCATTTATTTCATATGTCAATGTGCATGAGTCGGTATGTTTGACAAAAATATTTTGGGTT